TACAATAATTTAACAATAAATACAATGAAATATATTTTTTCGTTAGCTTCAGAATGATTTTTGCGAAATTATTGCATACACAAATTTTCGCTTGCCTTGTTCGGCAAGAAGAGCTTTGCTATTTAAGCCCAAATCGCAAGTTTTACCTATTCGGCACGACATATATATATATTGAATTTATTAAGACCTGGAACTTGGAGTTAAGTTAATTACAAAGAAAAGCAGGAGACACTTGGCAAGAAATGAGGAGACAAGATAACTGCTTGTAAGATCATAAAAGAATAGGAGAAAATAGATAAAGAAGATTTCTTGGCACCATCATCAGAGAGAACAAGAGGCCACAATTTCAGATTAGGAAAAAAATCGTGCAGAAAGAATACTTGGAAATATTTCTTCAAAAATGATGTTGATAGCTGAAAATGGATCCTGGAGACTTTAGTGTGTGCTAAAATTATTGGAAACATAAACAGTAAATGGTAAACTGTATAATGAAGACAGGACACAGCAAGCATAGTTCGGTTCATTCAACAGACACTGAAATTTAGTGTAAAGTTCTGACGTACTTTTGCGAGGTGTCGAAGGTTCGTGCGACGGTGCTTTAGGATATATAGTACACACAACAGAATTCTTCCCACATCATGTGAACCAGATTCTGCTCACCTTTAATACGTTTTTAGAGAGTGGGCTCACAACGACCGACCGTCCGTCCTTCTTCCCTGTCTTTGAAGTACCAACCTTTATTTCTCTCCTCATCCTTGCTCCTCAGTATTAGGCTTCTTAATAATACCGGTCAAATGCTCCTCCATGGTGGACATCAAGTCACAAAAGAAGACTTAGATGCACCGCCAGACGAAGGTTAGAAGTCCTAGAAGGTCGAGGAGAAAATGAAAGCTCGAATGGCTGACCTAGCCTACAAAAACCATGGAATTGGAACTTTGGGCTCAGCTGCTGAACAACTGGGCCTCTCTGAATACTGGAAGATTTTGATGGATATTAAAAGTCCTCACTGCATCTGAGAAGACATCAGTGGATCCTGGAAGACCTTGTTGACTCCTGGACGACTTCCCTAGAGCTTGGACAACCTTAATGGATTTTAAAAGTCCTTACTGGATCCTAGAAGTTCTGGCTGGATCATGAACGAATTGGTGGATCCTGCACAACTTCGATAAATTTTGAACGATCTCGATTGAATCTGGAAGATCCTCTAGAGTCTAGATCCTGGAAAATCTTGCCGGCTTCTAGAAAAATTTGATGGATCCTGGATTAACTCTCTGGATTCTAGGCGCCCTCAATTAATTAAGGAAGATCTCGTTGGATTATGAAAGATCTCACTGGTTTATGGAAGACTTTACTGCATTATAGAAAGATATTTCTGGATTTCGGAAAACTTTGCTGGCTCCTGGAAAACTTTGATGGATTCTTTGAAACTTAACGGATCTTGGAAGATTGCTGGACTCTTTGAAGCTTAATGGATCTTGGAAGATTGCTGGATCCTGAAAGCCTTTCTAGAGCCAGGAAGACCTTACTGCACCCTGGAGGAAATGGTGAGTCATGGACGATTTTTGCTGGATCCTAGAAGACCTTGTTAGATCTTATTTGACGTTGCTGAAAATGTAGGGCGGAAGAGAGTAGGTGATAGAATAGGAAGGAAGGTAAAGATTTTTTTGTGTGAGATGTTTTGCGAGGGTTCTCCACGGGCTTTCTGCAGGGACTGGTGATGTAAGGGCTGGTGATGTAGGGACTGGTGATGTTGGGACTGGTGATGATGGGACCGGTGATGTTGGGACTGGTGATGTAGTGACTGGTGATGTAGTGACTGGTGATGTAGTGACTGGTGATGTAGTGACTAGTGATGTTGGGACTGGTGATGTAGGGACTGGTGATGCAGAGGTGATGTACAGGAGACGGGGTGGTGGTGGACGGGTAACGTGACCTTGCGGGGTAAGGCATCAGTATTATGGAGAGTTGTGTAGAAAAACAAATGTTGGTTGCTCACAGACACGCGAACTTCGCTACCACACACACCCCACACACACACACACACACACACACACACACACACACACACACACGCACACGCACACTCTCCTCTCTCTCTCTCTCTCTCTCTCTCTCTCTCTCTCTCTCGGAACTCTAAAATTATCAGATAATTATATATATATATATTTACATGTCTAAATTATATTTAAATATAAAAATTAAATGAATATATATATATATATATATATATATATATATATATATATATATATATATATATATATATATATATATATATATATATATAGGGAGGTACCACCTCTAGAACTGTCCTAGGGACCCTCATCCTCAGAGAAAAGAATAAACTTTCTTCAGGGAAAACTCAAGGTTCTCTCTGAAGCTGTTTGAGAATTTTCTCCTACCACCCCCTATATTTCAAGTATGTTTTATTTAAAGACAAAAATACATTGGCCAAACATTCACAAAAATACAACAGAAAGCAAAACAACATAGGTAACTCAGAGCTACATCTCGAATACTTGTCCAGCTCCCCTGCAGTGGGCCGCGTGCCCAGAATGCTGCAGGCATTTCCTCTCTGGATCGCCCTGTGGTCCTTGTTTTCTATGATGAGCTTTTTACCCAGCTCTTTGAGGAACTTTAGAGCACACTTGCCCCATGCTCCAAGGGTCTCCGACCCTATTGGGATGAAGTTATAGCAAGGGGGAAGGTTTTCATATTTGCGGATCTTCTGGGTCTCCCTGTGGCTGGCAGCTCCACCCCCTTCCACTACGGAGTATGGCAGGTAGGTGTCCGCCAATGTGGCGGCACAGGTGTAGTCCCAGGCAATCTGCTTTCCATCCTTCCAAGGTAGCATAGTGGCTCCATCAGGACGCTTTTGACTTCCGTCAGACCTCTGCACTTGGGGTTCCTGTTGAGCTGGGCAACGGGCTGTGGCGAGGCTTCTCTTTACGATGTCATTGACCTCCTCATGCCTGGCATACTTCCCTTCTGCTGTGTGGCACACGAGACCATGAAGTCCGAATTGATCAGCTGTCGCCCTGCCGCAAATACACCTTTGTTCGGTGAGGATGGGGGCGGCTAGGCGAAGAGCAACACCAATCCGAATGGCCTGTGGGTCTAGTCGAGTGCCCAAGGAGGAATTGGGAACAGCTAACAGGAAATCTCCTGAGTGTGGTGCTTTCACTACCAGGAGACGAGCATATATATATATATATATATATATATATATATATATATATATATATATATATATATATATATATATATATATATATATTGCCGTGTATTTTTTTGTCCCTGATGAGGATATCTTCATAAATTCCATATCTTATATGTGTGTGGGATACGTCATCCTGAGAAATGGTAATTCCCAGGTGGTAGTAACTCCAGCTCTACTGAAAGGAAACCTTTGAAGCTGCCATAGCTGCTTAAGACACCTCTTTGTCCATGTTCACCGATCAGTATAAAATTGGTACTTGGGTGTTAGTCGACTGGTGTGGGTCGTATCCTGAGACAAAACTGACTTAATTTACCCGAAATGCTCACCATAACAAGCGGCTTTCTGAATAGTATTATGTCATTGATGTCAGCTAGGCCTGTATACCTTGTACATGTACTTGTAGAAATAATGATATTATTATTATTTATTATTATTATTGTTGTTGTTGTAAGAGTATATAAAGAAATATGGCACCACTATAGGCATGGTGGGGATGTAGTTCTCCCATCTTAGGGAGGGTTTGTAACGGTCTTGAAAATTCAATTGTGAGATTTTCCACAGATGTGGGTCGCATCCTGGGGGACCCCAATAAAAATAAGACAGACAGTCCTTGATGACACACTGACTTCCTTGGATTATCCTGGGTGGCTAACTCTCCAGGTTAAAAGTCCGAACAAATCTTATTTTAGTGATAATCGTGCAGATGGGGAGCGGTTACACTGGGCAACCTCGTCAGACTGATCTCAGACGATTTTTTAATATGACTCTTCGTGGTTAAATATGCGAGTAAGTTGTCAGAATATAACAATGTTCCCCCATACCAAACATTGTTTGACCGTTGTGGTTTGGCGCTTCTCCATAAATATAATAATAATTAATTATTATTCATACCCATATTATTGTTGGTATTACGCCTGTACATCTAGTTGTGCTTACTGGTATGTTTCAAGATACGAGTCATCTCAATTATTATTGTATTCGTGAAGGGGGAACGCTAAATCCGTAGAGGTCATACAACGCCAAACAAATGGAATGCAGTCCGAGTGGATCCCCGGAAAGAGATGATAGCTCCCAGTTCTTTGAATCAAGAGCCCATTCTCCAGCATTAAAGCACTTCCTGTACCTTGAACGAACGAATCATCACTCCCTTTCCAAACTCCTTAAGGAAATCACTGCTATGATTGTGTATATTATTGACAAGTAGATGAGTAAAATACATTTGCAACATTTGGGTATCTTTATTGTCGAAACGTTTCGCCTGCACAACAGGCTTATTTCAGTCAAATACGGATCACCAGAGATAATGTTCTCTTGTATTCGACTGAACATGGCTATCGTGCAGGCGAAACTCATCGAAGGAGCTACTGTTCCACTCATAATGCAGAGTAAGACTTTATTTTAGGCGACGTTTAACATTCATGCCCAAAGCTCAGTCCTTACCGAAACATTTAAAATAGTCTTGATCTGACTTAGGTGTTCTTATACGAATTTCTGTGTGTTTCCTCAGCCAGCAGTACTCATTCCAGCAACACATGGCGGGACTCAAATACTAGCTACACCAACTACCAAAGCGGCAAGAAGAGTGCTGTTACCCTGCTAATTCTTCTTGTCTTGTACTTACAGATATACACGGATTGGGCCAACCACTATCTGGACAAGTCAAAGAGCCGTCGGCATATCCACGACCTGCAGGCGGATGTCAGCGATGGGGTCGTGCTCGCTGAAGTCATCGAAGCCGTTAGTGAGTGTCAGTTCCTTACCTTCATTTGGAACTTGATGACATCATTTATCGTTAAATCCCTCTCCTTTCCATGAGACATCATTCAGTGTTGAATCCCTCTCTTTTCCTTGTGATATCATTTAGCGTTAAGTTCCTCTCCTTCCTTTGTGACATCATTTAGCGTTAAGTCCTTCTCATCCATTGTGACTTCATTTGGTGTTGTACCATTAATTTTATTGTAGTTTTTGTTATCCCTAATGTCTTGGTTTGATGGCTCATTAATTTTCTTATTGATGTCAGTTTTGTATTCACTTCTGCTGCTGCTACTACTGATGATCACATTGTACAGTCTGTTCCTAGAATATTGAAGTCATAGTCTCCACTACTCCGCTACCACGCTTCGTCTGTTATTCATATATTTAACTAAGACTTAAGTTAGGAGGAAACACTGTAGTGGACCTAGAATGTCTAATTTACGAGCCCTACCCACGTGTGGGCTGTCCCGTGCTCCCACACACAACTTCTGTTTTTTTATTTTGTTAATATTGGGTAATTATACTAAAATATGAGTTAATACTCGTTAACACAACCAAACTTAATCATGAATAATGAATAATAAAATTTCATCGAGATTTCTTTCGTGCCGAAATGCATGAGATTCAGTCTGCATGACAGGAAACTTAGAGAACAGGTTGTATTTAACATCGTCGGTATTTGATACTTTTTTTTTTCCTAGTAGGCCTACTGATCCATGTGGGGCTTGTCCACGTCTTGTGTCAGTGTCAGTGACGCTGTCAGGTTCTTGCACTCAGTCTTCAACTCTGTTGCCAAGCCAGTGCTTTCCTGTCCTTTGTAATCCTGAATCTGGCCAACTTGAGTTCATTGTTACTAAATGTGACTCGGCTATATATGTGGACGAAGGCGTAGCTTTACAAAATAAATCACTATTTAAGCGACATTAAAGTAGAACTTTATCATATAAAGATTTTTTTTGCTTTCTTGTTTCTTCATCCACATAATTGTTAGCCAGTACTCTTAATCCGTCATCTTAGGAAAGATTCCGGATAGATGGATTAACTTTCTCAGTCTGTTTAACAGCTCATTTATGTCCATCAATATGTAATATGTAAACCAGAACTGCTGCGCATAAGCTAAGTCATTAACAACGATGTATAGAATTGTATGATCTTGTAACTTTTGTTACTTAGCATTCTTGATGTGAAGTTAGGCTTTATTGCGAACACTCATTTGACAGGACGGTAGTACCTCATTGGATGCTGCTGTCTGTCAGGCTTTATGTTAATTAGACACATGTCAAGTAATAGCACTACAGATATCTTTTTTACATAATTTACATAGTTTATCGATGCTGTGGTCGTTGTCTTTCATCAGATATAAAGCCTTAAATTTGCCCACTCTGAATTGTATCTACTTCTATTATTTATTAATCCCTGCCTTCATGTTTATCATCTGTACTTTGTTACTTGATTTATTTTTACCTTTGTTAACATTATCGCCACAGTTATTGTTAAAATCAATAATGTCATTGACGTTATGCTTTCGTCTCATAGGTTACTGTCTTACTAATGCCAGCGTTGATGCCAAAAAATACTTTTGCGTTACTAGCATTGTCACTCACGATAACATCTCCGAGCTTGTACAGTAATCTGAGGCAGTATAACAGCTCCTTGCCCCTAAATAAGATGGGGTAGGATAACAGCTCTTAGCTTGTGAAATGAACTAAAGTAGGATAACAGTTTCTTAGCTTGTAAAACAAGATAAGGTAGGATAACAGCTCTTAGCTTGTAAAATGAGGTGAATTAGGATAACAGTTCTTAGATAGTAGGTTGGTAGACAGCAACCACCCAGGAAAGTACTACCGTCCTGCCAGATGACTGTGAAACAGAAACCTGTAACTGTTTTGCATGATTGTATGATTGCTGGTGTCTTTTTCTGTCTCATAAACACGCTAGATAACAGGGATATCTTGCTACTCCTACTTACACTTTGGTCACACTTCACAGACACGCACATGCATATATATATACATACATCTAGGTTTTTCTCCTTTTTCTAAATAGCTCTTGTTCTTCTTTATTTCTTCTATTGTCCATGGGGAAGTGGAAAAGAATCTTTCCTCCGTAAGCCATGCGTTTCGTATGAGGCGACTAAAATGCCGGGAGCGATGGGCTAGTAACCCCTTCTCCTGTAGACATTTACTAAAAAAGAGAAGAAAAACTTTATAAAACTGGGATGCTTGAATGTGCGTGGATGTAGTGCGGATGACAAGAAACAGATGATTGCTGATGTTATGAATGAAAAGAAGTTGGATGTCCTGGCCCTAAGCGAAACAAAGCTGAAGGGGGTAGGGGAGTTTCGGTGGGGGGAAATAAATGGGATTAAATCTGGAGTATCTGAGAGAGTTAGAGCAAAGGAAGGGGTAGCAGTAATGTTGAAGGATCAGTTATGGAAGGAGAAAAGAGAATATGAATGTGTAAATTCAAGGATTATGTGGATTAAAGTAAAGGTTGGATGCGAAAAGTGGGTCATAATAAGCGTGTATGCACCTGGAGAAGAGAGAAATGTAGAGGAGAGAGAGAGAGATTTTGGGAGATGTCAAGTGAATGTATAGGAACCTTTGAACCAAGTGAGAGAGTAATTGTGGTACGGGACCTGAATGCTAAAGTAGGAGAAACTTTTAGAGAGGGTGTAGTAGGTAAGTTTGGGGTGCCAGGTGTAAATGATAATGGGAGCCCTTTGATTGAAGTTTGTATAGAAAAGGGTTTAGTTGTAGGTAATACATATTTTAAGAAAAAGAGGATAAATAAGTATACAAGATATGATGTAGGGCGAAATGACAGTAGTTTGTTGGATTATGTATTGGTAGATAAAAGACTTTTGAGTAGACTTCAGGATGTACATGTTTATAGAGGGCCCACAGATATATCAGATCACTTCTTACTTGTAGCTACACTGAGAGTAAAAGGTAGATGGGATACAAGGAGAATAGAAGCATCAGGGAAGAGAGAGGTGAAGGTTTATAAACTAAAAGAGGAGGCAGTTAGGGTAAGATATAAACAGCTATTGGAGGATAGATGGGCTAATGAGAGCATAGGCAATGGGGTCGAAGAGGTATGGGATAGGTTTAAAAATGTAGTGTTAGAGTGTTCAGCAGAAGTTTGTGGTTACAGGAAAGTGGGTGCGGGAGGGAAGAGGAGCGATTGGTGGAATGATGATGTAAAGAGAGTAGTAAGGGAGAAAAGTTAGCATATGAGAAGTTTTTAAAAGTGAATGAGAGGAAAGTGGGAGAAAAAATTTGTGAAAATAAGAAAGTTTTGGAGTGAGATAAGAAGTTAAGGAAAGTGGTGAAAGTTTAACAAATTTTGTTGAAAATAAGAAAAAGTTTTGGAGTAGATTACAAGTTAAGGTAACTGAGAAACAAAGGATTTTGGTAAGAATAGGAAGAGGATTATTAATGGGAGAGATTGAAGAGGGATACATTTTGGAGTGGAAGGAATATTTTGAGAATTGTTAAATGTTTGAGATAGGGAAGTATGATTTATGTGATAGGGAAGGAGGAATAACATCTTGTGGAGTGAGGAAGAGTCAGTGTGGGGGGAAGTTCGTGAGGCAGTGGTAAATTGAAATAGGGTAAGGCAGCCGGGATGATGGTAAAGATAGAAATGTTAAAAGCAGGTGGGGATATAGTTTGGATGGTTGGTGCAATTATTTAAAAGTATGGAAGAGGGTAAGGTACCTAGGGATTGGCAGGAGTATGCATAGTTCCTTTGATATAACGGTAAAGGGGTAAAGAGAGTGCAAAAATTATAGAGGATAAGTCTGTTGAGTATACCTGGTAAAGTGTATGGTAGAGTTATTATTGAAAGAATTAAGAGTAAGACGGAGAATAGGATAGCAGATGAACAAGGATGCTTTAGGAAAGGTAGGGGGTGTGTGGACCAGGTGTTTACAGTGAAACATATAAGTGAACAGTATTTAGATAAGGCTAAAGAGGTTTTTGTGACATTTATGGATTTGGAAAAGGCGTATGACAGGGTGGATAGGGGGCAATGTGGCAGATGTTGCAGGTGTATGGTGTAGGAGGTTAGGTTACTGAAAGCAGTGAAGAGTTTTTACGAGGATAGTGAGGCTCAAGTTAGAGTATGTACGAAAGAGGGAGATTATTTCCCAGTAAAAGTAGGCCTTAGACAAGGATGTGTGATGTCACCGTGGTTGTTTAATACATTTATAGATGGGGTTGTAAGAGAAGTAAATGCGAGGGTCTTGGCAAGAGGCGTGGAGTTAAAAGATAAAGAATCACACATGAAGCGGGAGTTGTCATAGTTGCTCTTTGCTGATGACACTGTGCTCTTGGGAGATTCTGAAGAGAAGTTGCAGAGGTTGGTGGATGAATTTGGTAGGGTATGCAAAAGAAGAAAATTAAAAGTGAATACAGGAAAGAGTAAGGTTATGATAACAAAAAGATTAGGTGATGAAAGATTGGATATCAGATTGGAGGGAGAGAGTATGGAGGAGGTGAATGTATTCAGATATTTGGGAGTGGACATGTCAGCGGATGGGTCTATGAAAGATGAGGTGAATCATAGAATTGATGAGGGGAGAAGGGTGAGCGGTGCACTTAGGAGTCTGTGGAGACAAAGAACTTTGTCCTTGGAGGCAAAGAGGGGAATGTATGAGAGTATAGTTTTACCAATGCTCTTATATGGGTGTGAAGCATGGGTGATGAATGTTGCAGCGAGGAGAAGGCTGGAGGCAGTAGAGATGTCATGTCTGAGGGCACTGTGTGGTGTGAATATAATGCGGAGAATTCGAAGTTAGGAGAAGGTGCGGGATTGCCAAAACTGTTGTCCAGAGGGCTGAGGAAGGGTTGTTGAGGTGGTTCGGACATGTAGAGAGAATGGTGCGAAACAGAATGACTTCAAGAGTGTATCAGTCTGTAGTGGAAGGAAAGTGGGGTAGGGGTCGGCCTAGGAAAGGTTGGAGGGAGGGGGTAAAGGAGG